TCTGAGCCTGAGCCTTTACTTCCCCATCTGTAAAACTGGCTTCATAAGTAAAGCTACCTGCTGCATGGGTTTATGACAAGACCAGAATGAGATCATGTAAACACAAACCCTAGAACACCGTCTGAAACCAAGCCACAGACCATCATGATGTTTTTGTGATGACCATGACCCCCCTGAGACCTGCGTTTTCCTCTTTGGAGTTGTTCTGCAACTCTGCGAGGGCCCAATCCTGCTGATTCAAAAATCTAGTCTGGCCCCTGCTTGTTTTCGCGTCTGAATATTATCTTTTTCTCTGAAATTCTCTACCTTACACATCCCTCTATTCCACTCCCTCTATTCAAATTCTAAAATGCAATTTTGATAAGAAAGGGAGATATAGAGATATGGATATAGATACAGATATAGATGTAGATAAGAAGAGGGCATATACATTTCCCCATATATATATATATATATACATATATACCTATCCCTAAGGCCGGGTACATAGATAATAAGTGTTCAGTGAATGTCTGTAGACTGTGCACCGAAGAAAATAATTCTCTTACAAAAACAAATTGCCAGCCCGACTGTGCTGTGGACCCTCAGGGTCAAGCGTACAGTCCTGAGGCTGTGAAGGAAGTCATGTGTCTGCATTGGTCAGTGGGTCCTGCCCCTTGCAGCCTGTTTTCTGCTCCCACCTGCATGCCCATTGCAGCAGTTCCCTGGCCCAGCAGCAGCAGTAGATTCCCACATCTTTCTTGCCTTTCCATCACACAGCCTAACCTGGGACTCACTGGACCTGGCCAGCAGGCACCCCTCCTCGGAGCTTGGTCTCAGCCTCCTGAGGTTCCTCCTTCAAGGCTGTAGGTCCAGAGAAGCCCAGCCGTTTTCTGCCATCATTGGTAATGTGGTACCTGCTTCTCACAGTCACTCCCTCTGCCATGTTCAGTCCCCTGTCAATCATTTAAGGCCCTCCAGTGCTGGCAGAGACAGTCTTTTCATATTATATCTTCTATGATAGACAGTTTTGGTCTGTCTCCTGCCTGCATAGTGCCGTCCCCACAACCATGGCATGGAGGGTACTTCCTTCCAGCAAATATGTCTGCCTTCTCTCCTCCAAGGATGGGGCATTCGCAGTGATCACAGGGAACTGCTGCCTATCTCCCCAAGAGTGCCAGGCCCTTCCATTTGGAACCCTTGTGAGGCACAGAGATCTGTTTCTGTGCCTTGTAGAACCCAATGCCAGATGGACTCAGATTTGAATCTGGCTCCAGCTGTGTGGCCATCAAAAGGACCCTTCCTTCTCTGAGGACTCTTTTTCCAGACAATCCTAGCTGCCCCCTAGGGCTGTGCACTGCAGTCCCCTTTGCAGAGAAGGCACCCCATGGCTGGTGATGTCATGTGTGCCCTTGCAGGGTTCTGGCCCTTGGAAGGGCTGCATGCTTGTCCTGTCTTAGCCCTGCATCCAGAGATGGCAGAGCCCCCTCCTCAGTCAGCCCAGACACCATCTGGAGCTCCCATCTGCCTGTACTTCCTCGTCTTGGAACTGGTGAGTGAAGATTCCATGAGCAGTCCCAGGGGCAGACAGAACTCCGGTTTCCCGAGTCCTCGGTGTGCTGCACACACGTCTGTGACACCGAGGCTGGATGATCCTGAGCCTGCAGTGCACAGTCTGAGTTCCCTGGTGCTTCCTGAGCTTTCCTTTCTTGCCCTTTGTCTGCAAAAGAGCATGTTCCTGCAGTGTAGAACAGCTCTGCACTGGGCTCTGTTATCAGGAATTTAGTGCCGGTACAATTTGCTTTCCTGTGTACGTAGGGAATGTTCTTGGCACCCTGAGAACCTTGCTTGGGTTTCAGGAGATTTTTTTTTTTCTTTGTGGTGTTTTGGATACTGCTGACCCTCCCTGGGCCTAACTGAGTCATCCTAGACTGTAAGTTCAAGCACGTGGCACCTGGTAGAGATCAGAGGAAAAAAATGCCTGGTGTTTGTGTTACTGCTAAGGGAGATAACTGCATGAGTCTGGGTTCTGGTTTCCAATCACCAGAGTGTTACTGACATGGCCTCTGCTTTCTCCCTTGCTTGCCCAGCTTCCACCTCTGTGAATTCTTTTCTATTCCCTATTGCCTCAATATCTCTACTATTCTTACTTCCCTTTCTGAAATTGTCTCACCGCTCATTAGATAGGAAGAGTGGTTCTCTGGTGGCTTTATATGAGAACAGCGATCCCAGCACACACTCCTCCTGAGACTCTCCACAGAATTTGCAGAAGATGGGACACATAGTAGATATTTGAGAACACAGGCTGTTAAAGAACATCACATATTCAATATGAGAATGTCATGGAGGTGTCCTGCTTATGGGGCGGTAATAATGGCATGAACAGTAGCCGAATCAGAGTTACTTTGCCATTGAGGTTATAACCTCTGCTGTTGACAGCGATAAACACAAATAGTTTTCCATAAACTTCTTCCAAACCCTATGAGGTAGGGATTATTACTCCCATTTTTCAGAATATAAAACAGAGGCTCAGTGAGGCTTCGCTTGTTCCATAGCTGCTAAACCTCAGACCCTAGAATTGAGCTCAAACTTGCCATTTTTTTTTTTTCCTGGCCATCCTCTCAGCTCTAACTCTTCTCCCTGCAGAATATTGTATGGCTGGTTTGAGGCCTCTGACCAAACACCATTTTCATAGAGGGAAGTCTTCCTTATAATAAGAGCTCCTGCCACTCTCCATCCATCGAATGAGCTTTCTTTTTCACTGAAGCACTAGCTTGTGTCTAATCTGTATCGTGCCATGTGAATGTGAACTTCATAAACCCAGGGACATTGTCTCATCCACCTTCACATCCTCAGCATCTGGAAGCGAACCTATGAAAATGGTTTACTTTCAGCTCATGAGTACACTGTAGGATGAACACGCAGGTGAGTGAGCACCTAATGCCCAGACACTCACTCTAACCATGATGTGCTGCATTTGGAGGAATGTGGGATATTTACTCATGGGACTCACCAGTGTCTATAAACCACATGTACCACTGTTTATGTCCAAATGCTTGGATTCCAGATTCCAGAATCCAGATGAACCTTAGAAAGCTGCTCATCCCCAACACATACTGCTATAAGTCTTGTGGGAGCCAGGACTTCGTAAGGATTCTTAGCCAGCTTTTTAGTGGAAGACCAAGTTCTGGGTCAGCTGGTGGTACTGAAGTCACAGGTATTCTTGTCTAGTGCTTCGTAATTGCCAGTGTCTGGTGGAATGGAAGAGGAAAGTAACTGGTTCTGACTGAGAGTCCTTTTTCCTGCTCAGAAGTCTGCTATCTTTGATAAAATGGTCAAGTGTGTACCATCCTTGCCTGCCAGGTCATGTTCTATGACCTAGTTCTTTTCCTCAATGCCCACCTGCCCCAGAACTGGATCCAATACCACTCTCTACAAAGAGACAAAAAGTCAACTGAATAAGTCTTCCTGTCCAATGACAAATCCATGCTGCTATAAGTCCGTGAGAGTTTTGAGGCCCTGTCTAGTTTGCTGTGTTCTGGGAGCCCAGTGCCTCCTGCACTCCAGCTACTCAGCTCTTTTCTATAACCAGAAGCTCAGTAGACACTAGATGAGTGAATATTTGAACAAAAGGCTAAAAGCTATTAACATTCCCAAGATAACATGTGCATCTTAATGAGCTGCTCAATACCTTAAGACAAAGGGTGAATAATGTGGCAGTTTCAGTCCCCAAGACACCAAATACAATGGGAAATTTTCTACCAGAGCTACTTGTCATTCTATATGTCATGACTCACACACACCACATGCTGCCAAGACTTGAAGGCTGAGAGAAAGACTCAGCTTATAGACTGTCTTCCAGGCTTATGTTTGGAGCTAAAAGTGGCTGATGACCATCCCAAGAAATGAGGGATGATTCTTCAGGATTAACTTCAACCTGACACCTGGAAGATGGAGATGAAATCACATTTTGTTGCCTGACACTCTGTTTTCTATCACTTGGGCAAGCTAATCCTCTAAAACAGTATAGAGAAAGAGTTCACAGGAAGCTGGTGGCAAGAAAAGGAAGGACCGGTCCAGAGCACGACCTGACTCAGATGAGGGTGGATTCCGTGTTCACTATTTACACAGGCCAGCAGACAGATGGCACCTGGCATCAGGGCCACTGACCCCACGGAGAGAGCATGGCAAGATATCCCATGGAATCCCTTCCCACTGGCACAGTCCACAGTCCTGAATGGCAGCTAGGTTTTTATGAGAGCAATAGTTGTGCTTCACAAGTACATGATGCCTTGTGGTTCCACTGTCAGAGCACTGCACTTTGGTCAAATTGTTTCCAGTCCTGGTCATTCCTTGGTGGCCTTACTCAAGGGAAATTCTGAAATCCCTTTTTCTCTCCTGTCCCCATGGAAAGGCCCAGGCTCATGACTGCTTTGCTGGAACGGAACCAGGGCACAGGCTGTGTGACTCCATCTCACTGTCCCACATGCACAGGCAAGCTCCCGTGGGGGTGGGGGAGGGTAGGCTCCCTACACAGTCCCTCTTCTCCAGGAGGCAAAGCCAGCTGCTCAGTCGCCACCTGCAAAGTTTGCACTGAGTGTCAGGCTGCAGCTTCCTGCTCTGCAGGGAGTTTTCCCAGATCCTGATCAAGGCACACAGAGGATTGATCTATGAGATGAACCAGGCGGGAGTGAGCAGGAGAGCGAATGCGGGAGGCTGTGGGGCTGAGTGTTTTCTGTGTAGCAGTCCCCTCCCTCCTGACTCAAGTATTAATTGCTACATTACCGCTGCTGTGGAGGAAAGACAGTCAGCAAAGCCTGGGAGGGCTCCAGCTCCTCCCTCCCTGCTCTGCTCAATTTCACTCTCTTTCTCAGTGCCCTCGGAGTGCCTGGTGCCCTGGCAGTGCCATCCAAGCCCTGGCGCCCCAAGGTCCTCCCGTGGCGAGGACTTGAGTGGACAGCAGGAGGGGTGGAGAGAGGAAGGTAGAGTTTGCCCTGCAGGCTGTCTGGATGCAGAAGCTGGACTTGCTGCAGAGGCAGCTGTGCTCTTCCCAAAGCCTGGCTTTGGGGGCGCATCCCTGTTGGGGTCCACCTAGGCAAGCTCCAGGAAGTACCAGCGACAGGCACGCTGGGTGCCAAGACTTCCAGGTGCTGACAACAGAGACTGCCTGCCCCCTGTCACCATGAGCGGCTGCTCCAAAAGATGCAAACTCGGGTTTGTGAAATTTGCCCAGACCATCTTCAAGCTCATCACTGGGACCCTCAGCAAAGGTAGGGAAACCAGTCTTGACCCCTTTTTGCTGTCTGGATGGGGTCTGGGGGTGTGGGAGAGTCTTGTTGCTTCAGCGTGGCAGGTGTGGGCTATTCTGGTACACCTGAGTCTCTGAGCTGGCTGAATGGAAATGGGAGGTTGGGACTCGAGGTTGCTGACAAACCTGGGTCCTGGCTCTGAGCAGGCCGGCATCCTGCCAGGGAGCTCAGCCGGCTGTAATGCTGTAATTGCCTTTGGAACTTTGGAAATGGAGTTGGTGGTGTGTGGCTGATTGGTTACAGGCGGGCAGTGAGACAGAACCCCTCCAGAGCACTGGCCGCGGCTTAGCGTGACTGGGGTTTCAAGAAGTTATCCACTGAGTGTCGAGTCTTGTTGATAAGAGATTTGATGCAGTGGGCTGGGAGTCATTCTGCAGAGCGGCGTCACTTGAGGGGACTGGCAGGTGGTGGCCCTAGGGCTAGCATCTGCCACCATTGCTGAATCCGGAAACTGAATTGGTGGAGCCTTTTCTTGTGTGAGGGTCCCAGTGTCCTGTGCTCCTGAGACTTTCTGCATCGTTCTGCTATTTCAGGTTGCTGGCCCACAATATCCTGTGCCTATGTTGCTGCCTGCTTGCTCTGCCACGCCAGGAACTGGGGTGGCAGGCGGATCACAGGATTAACTCTCTGAGTGGACCAGGAGGGTGGCTGGGAGCAACCAGAACCTAGGCTGCATGTACGTCATTCAGTGCCACATGGGACCACCAGCCGTGGTACCCCGGGCAGAGGGGGAGGCCAGATTCTCAGGAGCTGCTTTGATCTCCTAAACCTCATCTTATGCTCTGTTCTGGGGAAGGGGGGAAGGGCAAAATACTCACAGACTCTGACCAACTTGCTGGAAAGAAATGTAAAGAAAGCAGCAACATACCGTGATGCTACTGGCTGAAAAAATGTCTTTAAATATTCATGTCCTCTTTCAGGAAGAACGTGTCTTTTTGTAGGAAGAGATGTTAGAAGTGGCAGGTAGAATATTCAGGAAAGGAGGCCCTCAGACCTTTGATTGGAACGTGGGAAAATAGCAGTAAGAGATCAGGGCTGTGCATGGCACACAGCCCCCTCAGAACCTGGCTGCCCAGTAGGGCATGCTTGGCAGAAATTGTGGGTGTAGGGAAAATGGTGCTATCTTGCTTAGCTTGTTTTTCTTTTACACATTTTCCAACTCCTCTTGTTTCCCTGTTACCTTCCACAACATGGCATTGTCCCAGATGGACTAGCATCTAGTCCTGGGGGTCAGGCTGATTGATACAATTACAAGAGGCCTGGAGGGGGGAGGAAGGCACAGCAGCAGTGGGCCCTGGTGACTTTCTGAAGCAGAAAGCCAAGGGGGTTAGGAGACTTTACAAAGATCTCCCAACCTGTTGTCAGATAGTGGAATGTCTGTCCTCTTAGGGGAGGGAGGAGAGAACTGCAGCCATCTAACCCAGCCTCCACTTCCGGGAAGTACAGCCAAAATCAGCCTTAGCTTAGGTGAAAGAAACTTGGATCTTCATCCTTGACTTTGTTACCTGAGCAAGCCACAGCCTCTTGGAATCTCATTTTTTTTTTCATCTGTGAAATGAGCCCATTATCTTCTGCCTTTGAATACCCTTGTAGGAATTCAGGGATGCCTAGACATGGAATCCACTAAGGAGTGTGCTGGTGAGCAGGAGCTGAGATGATCAAGACCAGGGTTGGGGGTTCTTTAGTTAAGCTGACTGCTGGTGTCTGCATACCCCAAATGGCATCAGAGGGAGAGGGGGAGCACAAAAGCGAGTACTCAAGAGAGGTATGTCAGTCATGAAAAGAGGGTGCACAAAGAATTCTGTGCATGAGAGAGAGTGAACCAGAGAAAGAGCTGAAGAAACTGAGAGAGCGTAGATAGTTACAAGGATAAATGAGCATGAAGACATATCCTTGGCCATGTGAGTCTGTGCTCATCCACTGTACAGTTCACTTAACAGGCACCTACTGGGTGCCACACCCATGGCTAGACTAGACACCTGGACACATGAGACATCAGCCTTGCCACAAGAATTGCACAAGCCGTGGGGACACACACCAGATATAGAGAGCCCACTTGAGCATCTCACTGAGTGCTGGGGTGCACGGATCCACCAGACCCATGAACACGGGAGGGGATGCCTGGACACACTGCAGGGCTCCTGCCAAAGTGGATGCTAGGTAGCCATGGGCCAGAGAGGTGGCGATGGGCAGGGGGATGAGGGGGACGCTGATGGAGGGAACCTCTGGAGATAGGGCAGCTGTCCAGGCAGGCCAGAATCCCAGGGATATAGAACGGAACTCCTCTCCTCGCCCCAGGGACCACCTTAGGGAACCCAGTGCCCACTGGCACTCCTCACAGCTTTTTCAGGACCTTGTTTCTTTCAGGCAGGACTGAGGGAGGCAGCCTCAGCAGATGCCGTGGCCAGATCCTATCACAGCTGTGTCTGCACTCGACCTCAGTGCCATGAAGGACTGAGTGTTTACCCAGCCCTGGCCCTGAGCCAGGCATATGCTGGGTAACTGCTGCTCTGCCCAACCCAGGTGTTTGCTAAATATTTGTTAAATGAATGACAATCGTGGGAGTAGAGCCAGTCTGAGAGCAGAGCAGCTGAGAAAAGTCTTCAGGGAGTCCAGAAAGCACATCTTTTTTAATGGACAGAGCTACCGTGGGTTCCACCCTCTCGAACATGCTGTGGTTGCTTAATGCTTTTTGGTTTTAACTGTGATCTCAGGAATCTATTGTTTATTGCATTGAATTCTAGAAGTTCCCATGCTCTATCCTCAGAAGGACTTTTCTTGGTCCCTGTCAGCATTGACAGACCCAAAGAATCTTTGTTCGGGTCCCTCTTGATGGTCCTATTAGGCAATACTCTTTCTTACCAGCCTTGGGAATTGCTGAGGAACAAGGTGGGGCTCATCACCAACCAGCACCTCTATGCTGCCCAATACTGCCCTTAGTCATTCCCTCCCCAAGCCAACAATCCCCTTTGCTCTTGCTGTGAGGTGAAGGGAGGCCTACTGCAGGGGGACAGGATTTGGGGTCCCTGGAGTTTTCTCCCTTCAGCTCTGACTGTCCTTGGGATCCATGTTCCTTTTAGGAGTACATTTTCCATATGCAATCTTCCCCCACTAAACTTAAGATCTGCGAGGGCAAGAGGCACAGATGCTGTTGTCACTGCATCCAGCAGATCTGCTCATATGGTAGGTGGGGAGCATAGCACAGAGTAGGGAGTAGGGCTGACAATGCTGAATCAAGTGAAGCAACACTGCACGATGGAGACCCCAGCCAGCAGCCTGAGATGGGGCTGCTTAGAGGAGTCCTCTACGCCAGCTGCACCTGTCCTAGCTGTCCTCTGGACTCTGCTCAGCTGCAGGGGCTGTGTACAGAGCCAGAGAGTGAGCTGTGAGTCACTTCAAGGCTTCTTCCGCCCAAGCTTACTTAAAGCTCTCTTTGGAAGGGTATTTACTATTCCCAAGAGGGGAAACTGGGTGGACAGACTCCTGGCATCCCAATGCCTACCCCCTCAGCTCTATTTTTGTTTTAGGCATTTGATTTCTCTCCACTATATGGCGTCTTTTGCTCTAAAAATAAATTTGTAAATCAAAAGAGGCAATAGGAAGCGCCACTGCCACGGGAGCTATCCCTGGATCCTCCACATTCTCTGGGAAGCCCTGGGCTGTGTTCCTCACTGTCTGACCTCAGTTTACTGATCAGCACAGTGAGATGACAACACATTCCTAATAGGATGAGACTAGCCTGTGCATCTAAGCACCCTGCACAGTAGGGACTTGATGGCTTTTAGCTGATGCCATGTCTTGATTCACTGGTGATGTCAGTGGCTGTGAAACCTCTGGGGTTGGAGGTCTGCAGCCACTCCTGGCTTTTCATTAATGCCCAGTGGCAACTCTGACAGCAGTCCCTGAAGAACACTTTTGGGAAAGCTCAAGGCCCTTGTCGTTCGGTTATCAGATGCCTTTAGACCATTCTGCTTTTCCTCTGCTGAACTTGGCATTCCTGCAGGCCTGCCTGCAGCTAAGACTGAACATTTAAGCCATCTCCCTCACCTGATTCCCTTATTAGGAAAGAAAAGCATGACTCCCACAGCCAGTGCCCTCGCCTGCTGTTTATCTTAGGAGAATCCCAGCTCCTGGCTTGGATGTATAGTGAGATCAGGGGTCTGAGAAACCTGCCTCTTCTTCCTTTTGACCAATCGGCTGTCTAGACCACTCAGAGTTCCCCTAGGGTGCCAGAAGCTCTACAGGCACCACTTTGGCTGGGGAAGTTCAAAGTCGTCCCCTTCCACACCTTGGGAAGAAATCTGTTATCCTAGGCATGGGTGCTAGAACCAAAATCAGCAGGAGAGAAGCAACTAACAGGAGAGCTTCTAGCATCATCAAAGCCACCCAGAAGGCTGTGGGCTCAGGAGGGCAAGGGGGCTTGACCTCATGAGATCCATGTCAAGGACAATGCTTTGGAGCCCCCATTCCCTCCTCCCACCGGGTCCCACCGGTAAGGCAGGGCCTCACACTGATGCAGGCAAGACACACTGTTCCTCTGGCCTCTTCTCCACCACTGCTCAAGGTCCCCAAGGGATTGACCTTGGACCAATAGAGGCTCTGCCTCCAGGTACTGCGATCTACCACCTGCTTAAGGCTGGGTGAGTTACACTTCTTTCTCAAGCAAAGGTCCTCACGTTTTGTTGGAGATCACAATATCAACTGAAAGCATTGCTCTTTCATGTAATTTTGAAGATCATGCAAGCAAGGGCTGGCAGCTGATAGAGCAAATGTCAACACTGCATTTACCTGGGAGCTGACATCCCCTCATAAATTTAGTGTTTTAGTCAAATCACTGGCTCACCCTAGTCTTGATCCTGTGGGAATAGGGGTAACAGAGATGGAACAAGACATTTAACCAAGCCTGGGGGACCAGCCAGAGAGCAGCAGAAATGCAATTAGAATGTGGGTCCTACTGGCCA